ATTACATCATTCACCAAATTAGAATTGCATAATAATTATACCATATTTCATAACATTATCATCATTTTATATATCAACCTATATATTCATCATATATCTCAGAGTATAATGAGACATATGATGAATATGTTATAAAGTATCATGATATACCACTTGTTCATATTTTGTCGTTTCAAAAAAATTAGTTTACTATTTTTTACGATTCAGAATATTCATCAAGTTTTCACGTTTTTTAAAAGTGATTACACAATATACAACTAACATGCATATACTAAAACTAAATTTTCAGTTATTTATAACTATTATGCAGAAATTAGTTTTAGTCAATTATATTTTTTTTTTTTTAAATTCGGTTTTAGATCCTTTTTTGTTTGATTTGATTTCGGCTTTACATAAATTAAACAAGTGAATCCATTTATACTATATGATATTTTTTTGTTTTCGGAATTCGGTTGAGATTGATTTATATGACTTTTTTTTTTTTTTTTTTTTCGCCAAACAGCATTTTATTAAGTAATCGGACGAAGACTTTCCTATAGGGAGAGCCAATCCGGAGCCGATGTGCTTACATGGGAGAAAAGAGAACCTCGTGCTCTTGCTTTTTTTGCGAGGCAATCAGCACGGACGTTGTTACAACGAGGAATAAATCTAATAGAGAAAGAGGGGAAAGAGAGCTTAAAAAGTTGTAACTACTGCTAAGGTAGGCCATTCAGATGGGTTATCCAAAAGAGAAATTAGCTCGGAGCAATCAGTGGCAAAGCCGAGACTCGTCTTCGATTCTGAGATGAGGCATTCCATTGCCCAAAGAAGGGTTTCAAATTCTGCTTGCAGAGGCGATAATCCCCGACGAGAGCTTTTCATTCCCATCAAGATAGGGGTTTCTTTATCCATAACAATCCATCCGTGCCCACTGAGAGTGTCTTTGGCGTGCCAAGAACCATCAATTTGGCATTCCGGTGGAGTGTCCCTTGTGAATGTCGGATTAATAGGGATCCTCACACTTTCAACGAGGGGATCATCATCCTTAGTATTTGCCGCCTTCCAATCTTTCGCCTCTTGAAAGGCATGATCTAGCGTATTTTGAGGAGATTCTCGAATATTCTCAAAAATAAAGCTATTTCTAGCCTTCCATAGATACCAAAGTATCCATGGGAAAAAGTGCCCAATATCCTCTCCATTCATCATCCCTTTTGCTCTCCAGAATAGAAAGTCCAAATTTGAGAAAAGGGACTGACTAGGGAAGCAGGAAGGTAATGATGGGATCGGTGACAGGGCCCAAGTTTGAAGCGCTGGTGGGCATTCAAAGAGGAGGTGATTTATAGTCTCTTCCTCAGCGCCACATCTGGGGCAGTGCTTCTCCTTACCGACGTGTCGGTAGAATAAGGTATGGTTTGTTGCCAAACAACCTGATAGACATTGCCACACGAAATGCTTAAGCTTTCGCGTAGTTTTTAACTTCCATACTTGTGCCAGAAGGGGAGTGATCCCCGGTCCCTGAAAAGGGTGGTCACAAGTAGGGCGAGAGAGTTCCCGCGCAGCCTAATACCCTGACTTAACAGAATAGTTGCCAGATTTTGTTCCATTCCAACTATAGCCATCACTTAAGTAAGATCGACTTGGTCGGATGCTTAAGATCAACGGAATATCCGAAGGTTCGATCAGGGCATGAAGTTTGTCGAGTTTCCAAAGTTTCGAAATAGGATCAATCAAATGGTCCACATAAAGATGTGGATCTCTCTCGGCCGTTATGCCTTTGGCAGGGCGAGCCGGAATGTCGGGAATCCAGAGGTCTAACCAAACTCTGGTGTCCATCCCTGAACCGATAGTCCTCCTTAATCCCGAGGTAAGGAGGGGTTTGGAAGCCATAATACTCCGCCATCCATAAGAGGGCCTATTAGATTTTTTGATCTCAAGTGGGTCACTGTACCGATAGTACCGACCCCGGAGGACACGACTGAGGAGGGAGTTTGGGAATTTGATTAGGCGCCATAGTTGCTTAGCTAGTAGGGCCAAGTTAAATTCCTCTAAAGTTCTAAAGCCTAAACCCCCTTCTGAAAGTTGGGTACATAGTTTATCCCAGGCGATCCAATGGATTCTTTTACTATCAGCTCTGGTCTTCCACCAAAAATCCGCAATAGCACTTTTTAGTTTTGAGCTGATGGCTTTATGTAGGAGGAAGCACGACATAACATATGTCGGAAGGGCTTGAGCTACTGATTTTATAAGAATCTCTTTCCCACCCTTGGAAAGGAATTTGGCCGACCAGGTATTTAGTCGGCTATGGAGGCGGTCTCGGACAAAAGCAAAAACTTGGGTTTTGGAGCCATGGATTTTTTCAGGGAGACCCAAATAAGTACCCATACCGCCTTCGCTGGATATCCCAAGGGTTCGCTTGATGGTACTCCGGGTTTGGTTATCAACATCCTTGCCAAACATCACCGAGGATTTTCGGAAATTTAGTTGTTGTCCAGAAGCCTCGCCATAAGATCTAATAATGTCAATTATAGCCTTCCCCTGGCTTTCATCCGCTTTACAGAAGAACAAGCTATCATCTGCAAACAGGAGATGAGAGGTTGATGGGCTTTCTTTCGAGACTTGGAGACCTTGAATGTGGCCATTCCATTCTGCGGATCGTAATTTTTTTTTTAAAATTCGGTTTTAGATCCTTTTTTGTTTGATTTGATTTCGGCTTTACATAAATTAAACAAGTGAATCCATTTATACTATATTATGATATTTTTTTTGTTTTCGGAATTCGGTTGAGATTGATTTATATGACTTAAACACTCTTACTTCTTTTTTTTTGGCCAAAATTTTTGGTGTTTGTTATATAGTGAACTACAGTAAAACCTCTATAAATTAATACTCTATAAATTAATAACCTCTCTAAATTAATAAATTCTTCCGGTCCCGAGTTGGGACTAGTGTAAAATATGACATAAATCGATAAATTAATAAGATAATAATTTTTTTGAAAATCCCATGTAAACATATGGTCCCATATATATCATAAATTAATAATTGTATAAACTTATCAATATATATATATATATATATATATATATATTTATGTATATTTAACTATATATATATGATATAAATTTATATATGTCATATATAAATTACTATGATATATATTTAAAATATTATATGTAAAGTATTTAATGAAATATGACTCTATTATTCAAAAAAAGTTTGTGTTGTCTTTTAAACTTAATAATTGCTTCTCTACTTGTAATTGGTTTTAAAAAGATATTGCTTATAAAAAAAAATTATTTTTAGATAGAATTGTTTAAAAAATTACAAAATTAGTAAAATCTCTCTATAAATTAATAATTATTAATTTATCGATAAATTAATACCTCTCTAAATTAATAAAATTTCATGGTCCCAACATTATTAATTTATAGAGGTTTTACTGTAATAGACAATTTTGTATTGTTAAGAAAAAAAAGGCATTTGACATGATGTGAGCTCTATACAGAGTTTTGTTTCTTTCTAATAGCTTAAGATCGATCTTGCATTGCCAATGAGAAATATCAACCAACCAAGAGAAAATATCAACCCGCAATTCTTTGAGTTAAAGCTAAAGGATCCGAACCAAGAATAATAGTCAAATGATTCAAACATGATTTTTTCATATGAAAATATTCTTTCTTGATAGGAACAAAAGTCGATTAAAAGAGAAGAGTGACATCTATATCATTGGTGTCCTGCTGCTAGTAGTAAGTTGTTTTTATTTTTGTTCGATGGTTAGGCAAGAATAATCCACTCCTTTGGATGCATCATATACCTAATTGTCATAAATCTTCATTTTCATTTTCGATTAGATGATTAATGAGTGTTACAAACAAGCCCAATTAGTTCACTAAACACCTAATCATCTAATTTTGTTGGTTAAATATGAAAAACTCATAAAAGTTTTTGTTAAAGCATTTCATTGAATATCTTTCGCACGAAAAATGCTTAATATCTAGATTTTGAGTGATCAAGTCAAAACTATCATTAAGATCAATCTAAACGAAGGAATTAACAATACCAACCTAAATATCAAACTTCCAAAATAAACGTTTCAGAACATTTACTTATAAGATGTGCTTAAACAAATATTTTTCCTGGAACACATTGGGAAGTTATAATATAAATGTCTGCAACTCTTCGATCGATCAAGCATCTGTTTTCTCTTGTTCTGTTTCATTAGAGGCTTCGGCTGCGTTCTTTACACACAGGGCAACGATTCTTCCACAGAGGGTCTCGACTCAGTTGGAAATTCTTCACGACCTCAATGCAATTTTTGTGAAAAAAATGGGAACACCGATATTGTTTTATGCATTCATCAAGACCGTCCCGTAACTCTTGTAAGCAAATAGTGCACGTCTTCTCCTTCTCCTTCAGATAAGTAACTCCTTGTGGTAGGATGTACACTCTTTGGTGTGTAACATCGACTTCAACATTAAGGTCACTGAATTGGCCGTCAATCATCACATTTTCTGCCTGGTAAAAGATTGACTGAAGAACCCGTGCCTGAACCTATTTGCAAGAGATGAGCTTTCTTAAATCTTTATGGCTTAGATCAACGCCCGAGTACTCCACCAGCTATTCGGAAATGAGCCTTCGGTAGTGGATGATCTCCTCTCCGTTGGCTTTCTGATAATTGGTTTTCAAATATGTTCTCAGCTTGCAATGGAGCCAGTTGACTTTATCATTGCCCTTAACTTGGAGGTTGTTGACATTCACATTAGTCAACTCCATCAGGCCTCGCCCAGATTTCCTAAGAAATTCTCGATGAAGTTTGCCTTGTAACTTAAGCACCCATTTCTCCATCTTCTGAAGCGAGATATTGGGCAGGTCATTGTTAATCTTCTGCGTCTATTGTCCTTCACATCCAAGTCGAGATGCCGAGGATAAAATCTCAAAAATTAGCTTATCGGTTCTCACGGTTTTCTAGAGAGGTATTTCGCCAAAAATTATCTTCATGTACTCAATTGATGCCCACAAGTCAGAAAACTTAATGTCTCCGTGTCGGTAAGAGGCCATAAAGGAATCTGAAAGGTTGAAAGCAGGCAATGCTAGGATGCCTAGGTCAGCTTCATCTGGATCATATTCGATGCACCACACCTCTTAATATCCCCCGGGTATTTCATGAAGGTATCAATCATTGTAAAAGTTCGAGAGGACTCAACCGAACCAGCCTGATACCACACAACATTGTCCTTGCCAACATTATCCTCCCTCAGATATCCCATCAAGTCACGCTGATAGTTGTCACCAGCGACATTAAAATCTTCACCGGCATCCGGGGCAAAAGGAGGGAAACGAGAACAATTGGTAACTTCAAGGACAAAGCCAACATCAAATCCACGAAGCTGTCCTCTGGCAGTGATGGGAGACTCCGTGCAATGTTTGATTATAGTTTCCATAGTCATTCTTTCAATCTCAACAGTTCGAAGCGAAGGAAGAGCCATGGTGGCCACTGAAACAATTTTCGGGTTATGATGGTGCTTCTCGGGTCGAGGACTTCAAAAGATCTTCGCCGTGAAACCCTAGCGACTGGTATATTTAGTCTTGGGCGTTCGGTTATCCGATCGGTTATCGGTTCGGTTCCATTCGGTTTCGGTTCTTTCGGTTCTAAAATTTAGTATCCATTCGGGTACTTTGAATTTTTGGTTCGGTTTTGGTTCGGTTCCGGTCCTTTCGGTTTTAAAATTTAGTATCCATTCGGTTATTTTGCTTTAAATATTTTTGGATATTTTGGTTATTTTTGGGTATTTTCGGATATTTTCGGATATTTTCGGTTATTTTTAAGTATTTTTACTATTTTTATATATTGTTAAAGTTTTTTTTTGATTATTTGTTCTATAAATAACTAATATTTTTGAAAATATATTTGTATTTAAGATATTTTCAGTTATCCGAAATATTTCGGTTCTGTACCGATTCGGCTACGGTTATTTCGGTTATAGAATTTAGTATCTATTTGGTTATTTTTAAAATTTTCAGTTCGGTTTGGTTCTGTTCTGTACATTCGGTTCGGTTTATTTGCTTGCCCAAGCCTAGGTATATTTTTCAGCCAGTGGCGCAGATGAATGGGACACATTGTTAATTTCTTATAAAGTATAAGGATATACCACTTGTTCACATTATGACGTTTCAAAAAAATTATTTCACTATTTTTTACGATTCATAATATTCATCAAATTTTTCGTTTTTGAAAAGTGATGATTACACAATATATATACAACTAACATATATGTATCTATTAAAACTAACTTTTCTGTCATTTATAACTATTATGCAGAAATTTCATTGGAGTTTAATTTTTTCTGTTAACTATTTAGTTATTCTGGTATCGCGTTATTCATAATATTCATCTAGATTTAGCTTGGCAATAATTTATTTCAAGTTCCAATGAATTTTAAGAAGATATGGAGTTATCATATGATTTTTTTGCGATCCCCTCTCTCCTCTTTTCTCTAACTTCTCTCTAGAAAAGCAAACCTAGGTCTGGCCGCCGTCGTCGGCTCCGGTGGCCTACACAGCACCGGAGTCGAATTAGATCCGTTTAGTTTTTTCTCCTTTTGCTTCTTGTTACCGTGATGGTTAATCGTCTCATGAGGTGGGCGAGTTGTTTTCCGGCGTGGAAGAGTTGGAGGCATGTGGAGAGCAAGATCTGTGGTGAGCGGTGGTGCTGGTTTGGCCGGATCTATTGAAAATGAAGATGTGCGACGGGACTTCCGGTGGCATCAGAGCTTGGTCTTCAAATGAATTCATATATCTACTTCTCCTTACCGTCGTTCTTGTGCAAAAGCTTGGGTATCTTTGGTCTCTGTTCTCTCGTCTCTCTCCTCTTCTCATCCGGCGTCTCCTTGGTTTTTTGACCAAACCCTTGTTGCGAGGCCTTTTTACTCTCGGTTGTTTTTAGATGTTTGTTTGTGTTTGGCTTTTGGTTTGTTGTTGTTGATAGATTCTGGTGGTTTAATCGTTGAATTGCTGGGTCATAGTTCTGCTCTCTCTTATCTCTAGATAGCTCCGGGGATTGGTCGTGGTGTCTGGTTTTGGATAGCTTTCGAATTATCTCTTAATTGTTCGTTGAATCTTTTAAGTCTGTCTCCTTCCACCGCCTCTAGTTTAGTTTAATAAGTAGGTTTTCTCTCGTGGTCTATTACTTTTCTGTTCTTGTAAGGCTAACCTCTTGTGGGGATGCAAAGTTCTAGATTTAGACTTGTTCGTTAGAAGACTAGGTGGTTAGGATTTAGATTCACGGCGTTGCTTCTTATGTTCGGGATAATCGTTTTTAGTTGGGTTATGTCTTCGCGGTTTCCTCTATCCTAGGCTCTACTCCGTTTGCGGTTGTAGGTCCTCTAGTCCGCGACTTTTGAGCTCTTAATTCCGCGATTATTGTTCTCCTCCTACTTTCCTGGTGATTTAGAGAGCTTTACTTCTTGATTTTAGTATATTTTCTTGTGTTTTCCGTATTTCAGGCTTTAGCTTCCGAGGATTTCTTTGTTTTCCGCCGGCTTTTGGATTTCAAAAAACGCATCCCAAAAATGTATTCCACCCCTGTATTTCTCCTTTATATTATATAATGAAAATCTTTTAGTGAAAAAAAAAAAAATGGAGTTATCATTATAATATGATCCGGTTAGCATCTGAATTAATCTTTTTGGGTTGGGCTTTTAATAACTTGGTTTTTCTTATTTGATCCGATTAGCATCTGGCTTAATTTATTTTAGTTGGGCTTTTGCGATTCTTTAAGTGGGCTTTTTTCTGGCTTTAAACAAATACTACAGGCTTAGATTCTTTTAACCCATATCATCTTAGTAGAGATCCACTAAGGCCCATTAGGGTTAGAACAACATCAGATTGCAGAATAAAAGGGTTCATTTTCCTCACTCTCAAGTTGGATCTCAAAACCCTAATTTCTAATCATCGCCGTCGAGAGCTTCCATGGGTCGTGTCATCAGAGCTCAACGTAAGGGTGCGGGTTCCGTCTTCAAATCCCACACTCACCACCGCAAAGGTCCGGCTAAGTTCCGTAGCCTCGATTTCGGCGAGAGAAATGGTTACCTCAAGGGCGTTGTGACGGAAATCATCCACGATCCTGGTCGTGGTGCTCCTCTTGCTCGCGTCACTTTCCGTCATCCTTTCCGTTTCAAGAAACAGAAGGAGCTCTTCGTCGCCGCCGAAGGTATGTACACCGGCCAGTTCTTGTACTGCGGTAAGAAAGCTACTCTCGTCGTCGGAAATGTTCTTCCTCTTAGATCTATCCCTGAAGGAGCTGTTGTGTGTAACGTTGAGCACCATGTTGGTGATCGTGGTGTTCTCGCTAGAGCTTCTGGTGATTACGCCATTGTTATTGCTCACAACCCTGACAACGACACTACTAGGTTTGTTTCTGTTATCCAAAATTCTTCAGAGGCTCATAACATTTTCAGATCTATTGATTGTTTGGTGTTGATTATGTTGATCTTAATGGAATCATTTCGTTAGTTAGAAATGCTTATGTATCAATGATTGTTTAGTGTAGATTATGATGATCTTAATGCTTCTTGAAGTTGTGTTAATTGCTTCTTGAAGTCTTGAAGTCATTTTGATGCTCAATATTTGAATGATGAGTTGATTATATGTTTGTGTAGGATTAAGTTACCGTCGGGTTCGAAGAAGATTGTCCCGAGTGGATGCAGAGCTATGATTGGACAAGTTGCTGGAGGTGGAAGAACTGAGAAGCCGATGCTCAAGGCAGGAAACGCGTACCACAAGTACCGTGTGAAGAGAAACTCATGGCCTAAGGTTCGTGGTGTGGCTATGAACCCAGTGGAGCATCCTCATGGAGGAGGTAACCATCAGCACATTGGTCACGCCAGTACGGTTAGGCGTGATGCACCTCCTGGACAGAAGGTTGGTCTTATTGCTGCAAGGAGGACTGGTCGTCTCAGAGGTCAAGCTGCTGCTTCAGCTGCCAAGGCAGACTAGAGTTAAACATAATAAACTTTGTTTCTCATGTTTTCTATATTTCAAGTTTTGTTGTCTGTGTTTGCTTTTGAACCTTGTTCTGAAATCCTGAAAGATTTTTATCATAAACCTTTCTCTCTTCTCTCTCGAAAAGCTTATTTTCATTACACAGAGTTTTTCGTTTTGTGAATCTTGTTTATATGAAAACAAGCGATCCTAGTATATAAGCGTAACGAGTTGTTTTCTAATACAAAATTTGAGAATCTAAAACATGAAAATATCGATGAACACAAAAGTAGGAAGATAGATGAAAACACAGTGTGTGTTGGATGAATTCCATTATTTGCCCTCTCACTTCTCACCTCTGACCTTTACCTTACGTATGTATACTCTTTCTGACCTAATATCTCCATCATCATTCATGTTTCTTTCCCTTGCTCACCAATCTCTGTTCAATGCTCTGTCATTCCTTTATCCAGTCGACTTGTTAATCTTTCTTTTTCTCTTTATCTTCTAATAAAGCTTCTTGGTCTTTGTAATCGCTATCTATAGCAACTGGTTAAAGTAAACCAAATTTGTTTTGCTCCCAGACCATTTTCTGATCTTTGGACCAAAATTTCATTTGCTCATATTTTAGAAGCCAAATAGGTCTTGTTAAAATCAGAATGTGATAACTTGCAGAAGAATCTATATATCCAAAAGCGTTGGCCATATTATTTAAAATGCCTAAAACGTACTGAACTAATGATATCATTATATTAAAACTGCTTTGTATCAAGTAGTCTTTATATCATTTTGTAGAAATTAAGGAGGTTAAGTTACCCATGCGTCAAAGCCACAACCACCGGTTTGTTCGTTCGTCTACAGATCCCTAAACCAAGATTTCATATTTGCTCATATCATAGATGCACATTCGGGTTCTGTTATGCCTGATTGCAATCACTTGTAGAAGAACAGAAATCCAAAAGCAAAGGGAAAGAACTTCACAGAAACCTTTAAAATATATATCCTCTGTTTCTTGTGTTCTGTATTGAGTCTTACACTTTCAATATCCGACTGTGATTACTTGCAGAAGAATTAAGCAAACATAAAGAACATTTTTCTGTGTTCTTCTTGTGTTCTGTGATTACTTGAATATCAATGACAAGTGAAAACCATATTGAAAAATAAGCGTAACTTTTTTCTGGTTATGGAAGTAATTAGTGAACCGAAGTAAACCCGGAATTAAGTTTTGTGTTTAAAACCTTAAGTAGTTATTAAATAGGGATTAGGTCACCAATACTCACCCAGCAAAATGGTAGTGACTCAGCATGATGATGCAGTCTCACCAGGGTTCGAGTAACGATATTGGTACCCCGAAAGAAGGAAAAGTGTTTCCTCCTTGCTTCCATCGATTCTCGGTGGAAGACGAATGATAGAGGAGTTTAGACGTAAACTCTGTCATGGGAAGATCCGAAAGTGAAGATCCGAAAGTCTTATCACATTGGATGCCTTTGGTGATAGCCAAATTGAGGTAATCTTAATTACCTCTTTTAAATTTTTTTATTCTTAATTCAACTTTAGATACTACTATTACTACAAACCAGGAACAGAGCATCACTGCAAAACTTGAAATATAATCTTTTGATAAAATGCAACTTCACATTATCACAAAGGACGAGTTTATCTTAACAGCTTCTTAGCCACTCTTGCTTCATCTTTGTTATCAAACCAACAAGCTAAATCACATTATACTAAAGTCTGAAAACTGAATTCTTCATCAAAAGTACATATACAAATCATATTCATTATAGAAGCATACCTGCAAGTAACAAAGCTCAATGGAAGGCGACTTTAAGGGTGTAAGCACAACCGCGACTGATTCATTCAACCTTCCTATTCTCACCTCCTTACCTTTCTTTCCAATGCAATTTCTACGTACCAAATCTCTTTCTTCCCATCATACTTTTACTAAACCGACTCTGTCACTGCCAAAAGTTCAGCTGATAATTGGCAATGAACCGGAGTAAACCCGGAGTTTATCTTTTCAGGCAGATTTGAGTATTCTCAAATATTGGTCGTCCAAGCTCCAAGCTCCAAAGTTTTGAGTTTATATATTAGAAATTAAAAGAGCACATTATTATGTAATTTGTTGTTGAAATCTTTGACGAACCGTATTTTATGTACCTTGCTGTTGAAATCTTTGATGAACCGTATTGAACCGGAGTTAAAAAACTTTTCATTTTATTCTCTTGTTTATACGAAAACAAGCAAAAGCACATGAGGCCATGAGGGTAATTTAACCAGATTGAACCACAAGCGTAACATTTTCTGGTTTATGGAAATTTTTAGTGAACCGGAGTAAACCCCGAATTCAGATGTGTGTTTAAGTATTTATTACATACGTTAAATGTCACCAATTCTCACCCAGCAAAGTGGTAGTGACTCAGCATGATGATGGAGTCACACCAGGGTTCGAGTAACGATATTGGTACTCCCGAGTGAGAAGGAAAAGTGTTTCCTCTCGACTTCCATCGAGTGACGATGGTTGGCTTCCATTGAATGTCAATGGATGATGCACTTCCATCGAGTGTCGATGGTTGGCTTCCATTGAATGTCAATGAATGACATAAGAGCTTAGTGTCTAAGCTCCGTCATGACCGGACTGCAGTCTGGTTCCGGGTCTTCCCTGAAGTGAAGATTCGTGGTCGGGAAAGTCTATCACAGAGAATCATGCCTTTGATGATAGCCGAATTGAGGTAATCCAAATTACCTCTTTTTGTTCTTTTATACAAATTTATTCTTAATTCAACTTATGATACTATAAACGAGGAACAGAGCATCACCATCATAATCTGCAAAACCTGCAAAAAGAAAGAAGAAGATTAAAAGACAATGACTTGGTCTTTGTTTCAACAAGTTTCGTAAAAATATTATTATAAAATGCAACTTCACATTGTGCAACAAAGGTCGAGTTAATCTTAGGGACCTTAAATTTTAACAGCTTCTTTGTCATTCCTGCTTCATCATTGTTATAAAAAAAAACAAGCTGTAGATCCTTCACATAACAGTTCACAAAAGTCTAACTAAGCACTGAGGCTAGAGAAAATGTTTGAAAATCTGAATTCTTCATCAAAAGTACATATACTAAATCATACTCATCATAGCAGCATACCTGCAAGGCTGCAAATATCATCAAACAGTAACAGTTGGACAAAGCTCAACGGATGGCGACTTTAAGGGTGTAAGCACAACCGCTACTAATTCATTCAAACCTTCCCCCAAGTCTTTCCAACGCAATTTCTATGCACCAAATCTCTTTCTTCCCATCATACTTTTACTAAACCTACTTCGATCAGTGCCAAAAATCACCTACTTTCCACCGAAATTCACCATTTTAGATTCCTTGAGAAGCACGTGTCTCCTTTGGATCATACACCATTATATACACTCTTGACTCATGAAGATTAACAGAAAACAACATATCATCAATCACACAAGACGACGGCTCTTGCCACAGATCACTCAACTAGAAATTTACATAGTTAGAAGAAAAGCTAAGGTTTCGATTGGCTCAGACACTAATTTTTGCGTTTGCGTTTGCGTTTGCGTTTTAAATATAAAATAGATTTTGTTTTTCAATATAAAATACTTTAGCAATATGTAAACACAAACTTGTTTTGTTTAAAGATAGTAAAGATGATGAGTTTTGATTATCGTTGCGCTTTTCATTTTGTTCTCTTGTTGAATGTTGTTTATCTGTATATTAGAAAAGAGCACATAATTGCGTAACTTGTTCTTGAAATCTTTAATGTGAACCATATTAAACAGGAGATTGGTTTAAATTTATATTCTCTGGCTTATACGAAAATAATCAAAGCACATGAGGGTACGTAATTTATTTATGGTTATGTGAAAACCATATTGAAGGGCGAAAAAAAGGCGACAGGAAACTAGGGTTTTCTTAACTCTCCAATGACGCGGCCGGCGGCTCTTCCAAGTCGGCTGGAGGTTGGAACACTATCGGGGGAGGGACAGGGCTCTTTGCCAGTGAAGGAAGTTATTCAGAATACAGAGGAAGTGCAGGGTTTCGTTTCTAATCGATCCGTGGAGGTGGGAACAGAGTCACAAAAGGTTGAAGATGTCGTTGGTCTCAGTCAGGAAGTCTCATCAATCAAAAAGATCATGGGTCCAAGTGGCCCAGAAACGTACCTTTACTCAGAAAAAATTTGAAGTTTCGGAAGTCAATGGTTGTTGTTCCACGGGAGGTCTTCGTTGGAGCAAAACCTCTTTGGGAGGATTTTCTTATTGGAAAGTTTCTGAACATGAAAGCACCACATGTGGGGAAAATTCACATGATAGTGAATAAAATCTGGAGATTGGGGGACCGCTCTTCTCTGATTGACGTGTATGAGGTGAATGAGTCAACAGTTAAGTTTCGAATTAGGAATGAGGTCATGAGACACCGGATTCTAAATCGTGGAGATACCCATGATTGTCTCTAAATGGACTCCGTTTGCAGAACCAGCAATGAAATCCATACCATTATGGGTTACTCTCAAGAATGTTCCACCAACAATGTTTACAGATAAGGGATTGGAATTTCTGTTCAGCGCAGTGGGAAAACCCATTCGGTTATACCCGAAGACAGAAGCTTGCATTAGCTTTGTTGAAGCGTATAAGCGGACCTGACAAAAGAATTACCACGAGAATACGATTTCACAGGTGAAGAGGAGGGTGAATTGGACACCGTGATACAATCTTGGCTGCCTCCAAGATGTGGATGCTGCAAAAAATGGGGACATTTAAGTTCGGCTTGTCTTTCAAATGTGGAGAAACTTTCGCAAGAGTCAGCGCAACAAGGAAAGAGCACAGTTCATGAATCAGAGAAAGAACAGGCTACTCTTCCTCTAGGGCAGGGGAATGAGTGCCACAGAGAAGGGTACCGATCTTATAAGAGGAGAGAAAGGAGACTCTGAGGAAAAGGAAAAGGAAGAGGGTTGGATTACACCAAAATCTGGTCGTAGTCCAGGGGTAAAAACAGAGGAACTGAAATATGGAGAAGTCTCTATCCTATCAAACCCATACTCAGTGCTGGAAGTAGATGATGAAATGGAAAGGGAAAAACAGGTTGAGGAGACAATCATGGTTAAAGAAGTCACTAAGGTGGGAGACGTGAATATGGAAAACACTCTAGACCTGGATACAAAAGAAGATAAGACAGCAGACCTAGCAGAAAAATCAGAAACAGTGGTTAAGGATCCAGATTCAAGAGCGGAGCTGATCCTGCGACCTCGAGGATCAAAAACGGCCCACAAAAAGAAACCAAATCTTTCTACTCAATCAGTTAGGGAACCCCCTAGAGATCAGAACAGGAAGGTTACCCACAAAAAAAATTAAATGTCAAGTTTCTTTTGGAATGTGTGCGGCCTAAATCGATCAACAAAACATTCCGTTTTAAAGAAGTGGGTAGAGGAAGGAAAATTTCAGTATGGTTGTTTCTTGGAGACAAGAGTAAAGGAAGGGAAGGTTCAAAGGGTGGGAGATAACATATTCAAAGATTGGTCGTTGATGACGAACTACGAGCATCATCGTTTGGGCCGTATATGGGTTGTATGGAGAGGAAATGTTAGGTTGACACCTTTCTACAAAAGCAGTCAAATGATTACGTGTTCTGTCAAATTAGAAGAACAAGAGGAGGAATTCTTTTGCTCCTTTATCTATGCATCGAATTTTATGGAAGAGAGAAAGGAGCTATGGGCTGACCTTAAAAACCATCATGACTCACCGATAGTTCATACTAGACCGTGGATCAAGAGAGATTAATAGGCAAAAAAGATTGAAACCACCAATGTAATTTCCTCTTCATGGTTCGGCAATATTTCCAAGCCAACTAAGGCTATATACTTGGTTGTACAGAATGAAGATATATGCTTTTGGAAATGAAAAAAGAAAGAAAGATTCAAGCTTTGAGATAAAAGTGGCATATGGAATTGCAGTGGCGGAGCCAGAATAATATATTATGGGGGTCATATATTAATATAACTAATAATAATATTAAATTATTTATTTTAAAAATAATATTGTGAAATAAATTTCAGTATTTTAGATACTATTTTTTGGTCTTTTAAGATGAATTACATATAATTAAGAATAATATCATTATTGTAACACATAACCTAATAGTTATTATTGAAAAACATAAACGATTAAAGAGAAAAAGAAAAAGAAAAATAGAAAGAGGGGTCAAAGAGATCCTTGAACTTGAGACATGGGGGTCAAATTACCAAAATCAAACAAAATTTTCCATGACATAATATCTATATAGGCTTGCAAATCAAATTTTATAAATGTTATGGGGGTCAACTGACCCCCCTCCTCATTAGCTACCTCCGCCACTGTGGAATTGTAATCTACAGAGAGTAACAGGAAGCCTGAGATCATAAAGATCCGGGATAGAAAAAATATATCCTACGAAGAGACTGCTGAACTGATCAATCCTAATCTTAATCCCTCAAGATACATCTAAAGAACAGTGGCATCTACAACCAATCAACTGTAGAAACAATCAATCTAGTCCAAAAATGTCTAGACTAAAACACATAAAGAGTGGAAGACCGAAGCACAATCATGTTTAGCAACTGAAAAAAGGTCAACTATATTTCCAATCAAAATAATGTTTATTCCTATTCCAATCACAATCAGTAATAAGAAGCATGAGATCCTAAAGATTTCTGGACCGGTCAAACCTAATCTAAAACCATAAAGATCCTTCTAAAGAGTCAATCAACTGTAGAAAACAATCAATATTTTCCAAATTAAAACTACTTTTGTAACTCAATCATATGCTTGGGATCAATGCAGAGCTTTACATAAACAAACCTACGATGTAGTGTTTCAAGTTTCAACAAAAAAGTTCCCAAACTACGAGAAAATATCTCGATTTCATCTAATATAATATCTTGGATTTCAAACTAAGGTTTAAGTTGGATAGAAAAACAAAAGGTCCACACACACATAGAAACTCTGCGAAAAGCTTGTGTTTAAAACACTAACAAACATGAAATCCATACAAGATGATCAATGAAGCAACCCACGCCTACTTAGTCGTCATCGTTCATCATATCCTGGTCTTGGTCATTGTCAGAATCCTCATCATCATCATCATCCTTACGAGATAGAATGTTATTGTAATCGTGATACACCGGACGCAGCATGCTCCCAGTCTTTAGGTATTTCAGTCCCGCAATGTAGAGTTCCTTGGGTTTCACTACCGCTTTGCCGCCGACGACGAAGTGGTTGTGGTTGTCGTCGTCATCATCATCATCATCATCCTTTTGTTTCTGTCGCTCAGAGTAGAGTTCCTTGGGTTTCACTACCGCTTTGCCGCCGACGACGAAGTCGTCGTCGTCGTCATCATCAACAACATCATCATCAACATCATCGTCGTCATCATCATCATCATCATCATCATCATCATCATTACGAGATAGAATGTTATTGTAATCGTGATACACCGGACGCAGCAGGCTCCCAGTCTTTAGGTATTTCAGTCCCGCAATGTAGAGTTCCTTGGGTTTCACTACCGCTTTGCCGCCGACGACGAAGTGGTTGTCGTCGTCATCATCATCATCCTCCTTTTGTTTCTGTCGCTCAGAGTAGAGTTTCTTGAACTCAGCCTTGCGTGTCGTTAGCACATCGTCCACCAACATCATGATTGGTATATCGTCAATCTTGTTGAGTGATGGATACTCGGCCTCGTTAAAATAGCGGGCTCTGACCTCATCATTCATCTGATCGTTATATTGCATGAGATAATAAATCATAGGATGGACTGTATCATTTAAAGTCTCCATTGGCACCTGCAAACACACAACAAACGGTGAGTACTTTCAGATTTTAGTGTCACTTTTTTTATTTTTAATGTTTAGATTAACAACTTACATCCAACTTTGACATGATCTCTGTACATGCCAAGATAGCAGAAAGGTTCGATTCATATCCATTAGGACCATTACCCAAACCGAACATTACAGCAGCTCGGCCCAGCTGAATCCAAGAACTTGTTGATGTTACACGTTAACAAATGACAAGGAACCAAAACAAAAAAAAAAAACTACCTTCGTTTTGGACGACGTGAAGAGAGATGTATCAATTACAGATGTGGGAGTGGGAGGTGGTTTTCCAATTTTATTACATCCGTAAGTCAACCTTGCACAATTGACTTTGTCATGAACCATCCACATTCTATTGTTGAGCATGGAGTGGATCGCCTTGTAGTTGCGCTCAAAATCGATATTACCGAAAGCCAAACTATCACCCAGCGTCTGAGACAAGACTATGGCTCCTCCGAAGATCAAATTATTACTACCGGGTTTGCAATCAAATATAACAAAGTTGTCATCGATCTGTAGAACCAAAAAAAAAAAAAAAGAATCGAGTTAGAAGAGAGAAAAATAATTCGAAGAAGGTTTCCGAGAAAAAAATTCAATCTGGAAATCGGAAACAGATACAAACTAAACAAACAAAGAGCGAAAGTCAAGAAAGAAGCTTTTCTTACCTCCATCAGAACACAACACACACGAATCAGTGAGTTTGAGAGAGAGAGAGGTTTTGTTGTTTCTGAAACACAGATTTGCTTGCTTCTCTTCGATAGATCTCGGTGAATGAAATAGAAGATCTAGGGTTCTTCGCGAAACTTACTACACACGTTTTATAATTAGAAACGACACGTTACAAAGTAAACCGACATACACATTCACATAACTATTTTAATTACAGTAATACCCAGGCCCATGTAGCAAAGAGTAAGGCCCATTCACACGTTCAATTCCAGCCCATAAAATGGAGGCATAGCTGGTTGGTTCAAGAAACCTAATCGATTACATCTTAAAAGCATCAGTCGTATGCTTCCGCCAAGCATAGTTGCCTTGGTCGTTTCAAAAGAATATATATAAATGGATTCGTTTATACATGGAACTTACATTCCTCAAAACATCAAGAATTATATATAAGGTATGTTGAAAATTTTGGCATATAATCTAACAATCTTGAATTTATTTTTAGCCCTTAAATTCTTTCTACAACGTCGTTCTTAGTTTCGAACTTACTTATCATTAGTAAAAATAAGTAAAGATTTATGAAAGTGAAATTTTTCTAACTTTTCACCATGTCTATAATTTTCTATTAGTAATTACCAATCCGGAAGAGACAAAACTGTTGAAGATCGTTCCTCCAATAATACACCTCATGGATCGAGGAAAAGCACGATTGAAAAACTGAAGCCAATCACAATCATAGGCACAAGTCATTGATCACCTAGTCGTAATTTTATCGTAGTTTTAGAGAGATTAGGGATATCTCCCGTGGAAGGCCTTCTGTATGTCTTTCCACTGTAGTATATCTGTATATATTACTGTTGGAACATTGTGGATGTTCTAAATGACAAAACTATATGAATTTTCATACATTCCAAACATTATGCTCCTCATGCCAAGTTTATGCTCTTGTGAGTATGATAGGTATATATGAGTTAAAGATATATATATATATTATCTGAATATGCTCTACTACTTTTGTGGATTTCTATTTAGATAGGGATTAGATTAGAAGTTCTTCTTTTTTACAAGTGAATTGGCTGAAAAAAGATTAAAAACAGTTTGAGACTTTATTGCATTGACACTAGGCACAAATGAGATATATATATATATCAAGCGACAACATCTAATAATAGAGAGAATTGGTTAACCTGGCTGGTTTCTTGTGTTCTGTTTTGAGTCTTACACATTCAATATCTTACTGTGGTTACTTGCAGAAGACTTATATATCTAAAAGGAAACATAAAGAACTTGACACCATGTTACTACACATTTACGTAAGAGTTTAAGAAATCTAAAAGAATGGTATCCTTTTTATAGCTTAAGAATTCTATTCAATGCTTAGAGTTTAGTAAACCCAATTAAAAACATAAGCATAACATTTTTCTGTTTATGGAAATAATTAGTGAACCGGATTAAACCCGGAATTAAGTTGTGTCTTTAAAACTTCAAGTATTTATTAAAAAGGGATTAGGTCACCAATACTCACTCAGCAAAATGGTAGTAACTCATCATAATGATGGAGTCTCACCAGGGTATTTGGAAGATTAATCTCCCTCTGGCTGGGCAGCTGTATGTTGTCTAGTCTCGGGATCTTCCCTGAAATGAAGATTTGTGATTTGTTATTTAGTCTATCACATTGGCTAATGTCTTTGGTGTAGCCAAATTGAGGTAATCTTAATTACCTCTTTTTTAAAAATTAATGGAAGGCGACTTTAAGGGTGTAAGCACAACCGCGACTGATTCAACCTTCCCCCAAGTCCCTTCCTTTCTTTCCAAAGCAATCTATAAGTACCAAATCTTCCCATCTTACTTTTACTAATCCGACTCTGATCAGTGCCAAAAATCACCAGCTCTCTACCAAAATTCACCATTTTAGACTCCTTGAGAAGCACGTTAGCCGGAAAACCTTGTAAATCCCTCAAGGGTTTCCAATGCTTCTCCTTTGAATCATACACGATTATTGGATAACACACTCTTGACTCATGAAGACTAACAGAAAACAACACACTCTTAATCACACAAGACGGCTCTTGCTTCAGATCACTCAACGTAGATTTTTGGAATTGAAAACCGTACTTAGAACTGAACTTATCGTGGGTTTGTTGGTTAAAAATGAGATGAGAGGAGCTTTAAACCGAAGGTCATGAAACTATATCAATAAGTTAACTGATGAAGCTTGAAACCGAAGAGATCGTGGTCTTGTGGGAGTCGATGTGGCAGCATGACAAAGTTTTTCCTTCTAGATTACTAGATTAGTTGACGTGACTTCTCCTAAGAGCTTTTTATTACTGGACACATGGAAAAACCTCACATAGTCACTTTTATTAGTAGTAAATTAAATTCATGGTCGAATCTTGTTTACGTATGAATAATTTTTTCACATAAGCATAACTTGCTCTTGGTTGGCTTTGTTCTGATTTTTTAACGAACCGGATTAAACCATGTGTTTAGTTATATGTTAGAATGGTTTAAGTATTGATTAATTAGCGAGAAGGTTACCAATTCCGGCCCAGGAAAGTGGTAGTGACTCAGCATGATCAGAGAGTCTAACCAGGGTTCGAGTAGCGATATTGGTATCCCGTATTCGTAACACCGCCCGTATTCGTAACAAGGTACAAGGAACAAGGACAAGCAACCAATAGCAATATTGGTAGTCCAACAATAATAACTTGTATATCCCAGAGAATCATCCCTTTGGTGGTAGCCAAGTTGAGGTAATCTAAATTACTTCTTTTTTTTAATCTTAAAATCATGCAACGAACCTTGACACCGAGGTACTCAAAGATGGAGGTGGAGCCATGGAGTCACTTTTGAGAGACTCAATCAACTAGGTTCTTGATCGAGGCCAGTTTCCAAAAACAGCCCTTATCATCAAAACCCGTGACTTTTGGTAAATGTAATGCGTACCACAAGAGAAACTTATATCTTAAGGTTCGTGGTGTGGATATGAACCCAGTGGAGCATTCTCATGGAGGAGGTAACCATCGGCATAGATCACGCCAGTACAGTTAGGCGTGATGCACCTAGTGGATAAATTAAGGTTGGTCTTATCGCTGCTAGGAGGACTGGTCGTCTCAGAGGTCAAGCTGCTACAACCGCCAAGGTCGACTAGGGTTGTTAAACATAAACTTCTTTACTTTTTTAAAAAAGGTTTTAATTCATAGTACCAAACTTGAATACAATCTAGACTATCCATAGAATCGCAAGAAAGAGAGATAGAAACATGGAACTTTTGAAGACCGTTACAAAATGAAGTTGCTCATATTCTAGAAGCAAAATGGGTCTTGTTAAGTCAGAAGAATGTGATAACTTCCAGAAGAATCTATATATCCAAAAGCGTTGGCCATATTATTGAAACTGCCTTCCGAAATAAAGATATCGTTAAAACTGTTTTGTACATATCAACTAGTCTTTATATTTCGTCAAATTTGATATTGTAGAAGTGAGGGTGTTAAGTTTTACTCATGCATAAAAGCCACAAACACCGGTTAACTAAATCGGTTTGTTCATCTACAGATCCCTAAACCAAGATTTCATATTTGCTCATATCATAGAAGCACATGCCTGATTGCGATCACTTGCAGAAGAACATAAATCCAAAAGCAAACAGAAAGACCTTGACTAAAACCTTAAAATATACAGTATATCCTTTGTTTCTTGTGTTCTGTTTTCAGTCTTACACTTTCAATATCTGACTGTGATTACTTGCAGAGGAATTAAATATTTAAAAGCAAACAGAAAGAACTTGACACCATGCGATGTTACTTCACATTTACGTAATTGTTTAAGAATTCTATTCAATGCTACTTCCGTAAGAGTTTAGTAAACCAAACTGAAAACATAAGCGTAACATTTCTCTGGTTATGGAAATATTTAGTGAACCGGTTAATCCCGGAATTAAGCTGTGCGTTTAACATGTTAAGTACTAATTAGACAGAGGAAAAGTCACCAAAACTCAACCAGGAAAGTGGTAGTGACTCATCATGATTGTCTCACCAGGGTTCGACCGTTCGAGTAACGATATTGGTACCCCGAAAGAAGGAAAAGTGTTTACTCCTTGCTTCCATCGATTCTCGGTGGAAGACGAATGATAGAGGAGTTTAGACGGTAAACTCCGTCATGGATTGGTCCAGACGATAGTCTGGTCTCGGGATCTTCCCGCAAGTGAAGATTCGCGATCCGAAAGTGGTCTTATCACATTGGAATCATATGCCTTTGGTGATAGCCGAATTGAGGTAATCTTAATTACCTCTTTTTAATACAAACCAGGAACAGAGCATCACTACAAAACCTGAAATAAAATCTTTTGATAAAATGCAACTTCACATTATCACAAAGGACGAGTTTATCTTAACAGCTTCTTAGCTACTCTTGCTTCATCTTTGTTATCCAACCAACACGCTAAGTTACATTATACTAATTCTTCATCAAAAGTGCATATACTTACTCATACAGTCATAGTCGTTATATATAAGCAGACCTGCAAGAGTATCATCAAACCGTAACAAAGGGTGACTTTAAGGGTGACCGCGACTGATTCAACCTTCCCCCAAGTATCACCTCCTCTCTTTCTTTCAATGCAATCTCTACGTACCAAATCTTTTGCTTCCCATCATACTTTTACTAAACCGACTCTGATCAGCGCGAAAAATCAGAATTCTAGATTCCTTGCGAAGCAAGTTAGCAGGAAAACCTTCTAAAACCCTCAAGGGTTTACAATGCGTCTCCTTATCATACACCGTTATTGGATAACACAATATTGACTCATCAATATTAACATAAAACAACATATCATCAATCACACAAGACGGCTCTTGCCTTAGATCACTCAACTTATCTTATCCTCTCCATGACTTCAATTTAGTTTCTTTGGGTTTGTAAGCATAAGAACAGAACAGTGATTATCCCTCATGTAAATCTTCTCTTCCATCACCACATATGTCTCAAACACAGTCGCAGAGGTAGGTTCGGACAAAAAGGTTGGTCTTATTGCTGCTAGGAGGAGAAGTCAAGACAAGCTGCTGCTTCAGCCGCCAAGGCCGACTAGGGTTGTTTAAACATAAAAAACATCTGTTTCTTTTTTCGTTTGGACCTTAGTTCTCAAATTCTAAACATTTTCATGATAATCTTTGTCTCCTCTCTCTAAAAGTTTATAGTATACATTGCAAATTTTCGTCACAAGTTTGATTATTATCCGAATCTTGTTTACAGATGAGTAAATTCTGCAACCTTGTTCTGTTGTGTCTCTTAATCCAGCAGATTTGAGTATCCTGAAATATTGGTCGTCCAATCTCGAATCTCCATTAACTAATTGCAAATCCCAAAGTTGAGGGTTTATATATTAGAAAAGAGCACAACTTCTTGTTGAAATCTTTGATGAACCGTATTAAACCGGGAATTGAGTTTAAAAGCTTCTCACTGTATTCTCTTGTTGAATCTTGTTTATAAGAAAACAAGCAAAGCACATGAGGCCATTTTCTGGAAATCTTAAGTGAAAACCAGATTGAACCGCAAGCGTAACATTTTCTGGTTATGGAAATCTTTACTGAACCGGAGTAAACCCAGGTTCAGCTGTGTTTAAGTATTTATTAAATAGTGAAAGGTCACCAATTCTCACCCAGCAAAGTGGTAGTGACTCAGCATGATATGGGAGTCTCACCAGGGTTCGAGCAACGATATTGGTACCCCCCGAATTCGAAGGAGCCTCATGTCTCCTCTCGGTTTCCATCGAGTGTTGGTGGATGATGAGTGAGTTTAGAAGTAAACTCCGTCATGAATTGGCTGGAATGCAGTTGCAGTACAGTCTCCGGTTTCTTCCCTGAAGTGAAGATTCGCGGTCGGGAAAGTCTATCACAGAGAATCATGCCTTTGATGGTAGCCGAAATGAGGTAATCAAAATTACCTCTTTTTATTTATTTTTATTTTATTCTTAATTCAATTTCTGTTACTACAAATCAGGAACAGAGAAATCACCTTTACTATCTGCAAAACCTGCAAATTAAAAGACATTGACTTGGTCTTTAAATCGTGTGTTTGGCTATTAAATAAACGCTAGAGAAATTATCTAACTTTCTTATCAAAAAAGAGAAATTATCTAACTAAGAATTGAGGCAAGAGTAGATATCTAAAACTCTGAATTTGACAAAGCTCAATGGAAGGCGACTTTTACTAAACCGACTCTGATCAGTGCCAAATCCCTCATGTAAATATTCTCCTCCATCACCACATATGTCACAAACTCAGTCACAAGTACGTAGGTTCGGACAGAAGGTTGGTCTTATTGGTGCTAGGAGCCAGGAGGAGAGGTCAAGCTGCTGCTTCAGCCGCTTATGTTAAACATAAAAGAATTTGTTTCTCTTTTCTATATATGTGTGAAGTTTTGTTGTCTTGTATTTCCGTTTGGACCTTGTTCTACAATTCTAAACATTTTTATGATAATCTTTGTCTTCTCTCTCTTTAAAAGCTTATAGTATACATTGCAAATTTTCATCACAAGTTTTATTATTGTTCTCTATCCGAATCTTGTTTACAGCTAGATGAGTAATTCTATCACCTAAGCATAATTTGCTGTTGGTTAGTTTGCAATGGTTCCCTAACGAACCGTATCAAACCGAGTATTTAGTTATATGTTTAAAACGTTTTAAGTATCAATAAATTAGAAAAATAGTTACCAATTCCGAACCGGTGAAAATGGTAGGGACTCAGCATGATGAGAGAGTCTCACCACGGTTCGAGTAGCGATATTGGTACCTCGCTGCTACCACGAGGATGTCTATCACAAAGAATCATGCCTTAAAGTGGTAGCCGAATTAAAGTAATCTAAATTACTTCTTTATGTTTATAATCTAAAACTGAATCATGCAGCGGACCTTCTAAGTGACACAGAGGGACTTAAAGACAAAGAGTTTAATGGAGGTGGAGCCATGGCGTGACTTTTTGAGCCATGGTTGTTCATATGGAGATTCGTTCCCTGGTTCGAAGCAGCAGCTAGACGAGAACTGTGTAATGGCTTTATCACAGAAGAGGAACCGTATCTTCATTCCTTATGCGAATCTCGTCTTCTTCTTCTTCTTGTGTATCTCTCTGGTCGATAAAGCTGTTTGCATCAGGATTTCGAATCAGATCTCGGATACTATCGTTGATTCTCCCGATCGTCCTTTGAAATCTGCGGTTTTCGCTCTTGGAAGCTTCTGGAGATCGGAGGCGGCTTTTGGTTGTATCAATGGCGTCGTTAGAACAACCGCCGGTTACGCCGGTGGAACGAAGACGAATCCGGAGTATAGAAACTTAGGTGATCACGCCGAGTCCGTACAGGTCAGTTTATTGCTTCGATTTTGAGTATTGAGCCAATATTTACTTCGATTTGATTTTCTCTACTTAATAGATTTCGTTTGGATAATCAAATTGGAGAATGCTTGAAATCCTGAATGTTCTATGTTTGAATATCCTAATTCCGTTAGCTGATTAGCTTGTTTTGTTGAAATTTGGTTATGTGTGATCTTAGTGTATATGTGATTGAAGTTAAACTAAATTGTTCTTTGTTCATCTGATCTTAGTGATTGAGGAGCTGGTTTTTAGTTTATGTTTTGATTTTGAGGATTGAGTCAATGTTTACTTCGTAATTGAATTGAGCTTTATCATTGATCTTGTTGCCTCTTATAATTAGTGTGGTCAATGATTGAGCATATTATTCGACGATTGGAGGATGCTTGAAATCAGCAATGTTCTATCTTAATAGCTTAATTCTGTAGCTGATTAGCTTGTTTTGTTGAATTTTGGTAATGTGTGATGTTATTGTAAATGTGATTTGAAGTTAAACTAAGTTGATCTGTTGCCTCTTCTTTTTCGACTGAATTCATTTCGCTTGGATCGACAAATTTGTGTAGAGAATTGGAGGATGCTGTATAGACTTAATGTTTTATCGTACTTAATATCGAAATTATGTAGCTGGTTTAGCTTGTTTTGCTGAGTTTTTGGTAATGTGTGATCTCAGTGTCAAATGTGATTGAGGTTAACCTAAATCGTCTATTTTCATCTGCTCTGTTGAAAAGTAATCCTTGTGTTTCCAGGAGCTGGGTTTTAAGTTTCTGATCCTTTAGATTTGTGTTGCTTTTGTTCTGTAACTGTCTTCAGGTTGAATATGATCCACGGATAATTGGTTATCGTCAGCTCTTAGATGTATTCTGGTCTAGTCATGATTCTAGACAAGTGTTTGGACAAGGTCCTGATGTGGGTAATCAATACAGGTAAAGAGGAAGTAAATGTCCCTCGCATTAGCTGTTTGGTAATCCTGAGTTTGTTTGGCCCAAATATATAACGTCGGAATCTTTTTGAACAGATCCTGTATTTTCACTAATTCTACAGAAGAGTTGAGACTGGCTTCTACTAGCAAAGAAAGGGAGCAACTTAAATCAAGAAGCAGTATCGTGACTACCCAAATTCAACAGCTAGGAACCTTTTATCGCGCAGAGCCTGATCACCAGGTTCAACTTTAAGTCTCTATACATCTTCCATTCCTATCACGGGTTGTTAGCTGTTAATCCAGTTGTTAGAGGATAAACGATTAAGAAAATCATTGTTCTCTTGAATTTTGTATTTGCAGAAGTTCGAGCTGAAACAACATCCATTTCTTATTCAGCTAATTGGAAACATGGCAGAAGAAGAGCTCGAGAGATCAGCTCTAGCCACGAAACTAAACGGTTATGCAGCCGAGCTCTGCCCGCCTAGAATCCAGAAACATATCGACTCTAGAGTTAATGAGATCATTAGAAAAGGTTGGCCTGTGTTGAAAGACATCTAAAGTATAAGCCGTGTGAGATCTTCGCGCTCTTGGATTTGATTGATTAGTCTCAGATGTAAGTTTTGGTTCATTCTTTTGGCCAGGAATTGGTCACAACAATGTTTATGTCTTACTCTTGCCCCTTGAGTGGTGATTGTTCAGTGTTTTGTCTTGTTTCTTTAAGATATCTCAAATAGAATATTGTTTTTGTTTCTTGTAAGCAGATTCAATTAGACTTCCATTGTATCATTATGGTATTGATTACCAATTCATTGATATTATATATATGCTAAATTTTGATTGCCAATCTCTCACATAGAATATTCATTTTTATGAATTCCACGGAACAACGGCTACGTTTCTTACATCTTAGTATCATTGATTATGATGTCTCATCCATCGATTAGTCTCTTTTTTTCACTTGATTTTCATTTCTAGGATCGTTTACATGCACAATTTGCTTTGTATCTTCGGCATCCTGAAGAAGACAACAACCTTACGAGTAATGGGTCAGATTCTCGATATTCAAGCTTAAGATTAACAAATATGTTAAGGGCCGTAGGCTCGGAAGGAAAACAGAAAAGAAAAACAGCTCGGGTTTTTTTGGCAACGAAAAAAGTTTGGTCTAGTTTCTGGTAAATATTAAATAAGACTAGACCATTGGTAACAAGCTTAGACCGCTCAGGTTGTTGGGTCCCTTTGGGTTTCTTGGGTAAGACTTCATCTCATTGGTAACAAGAATTTCTGGGACCTCAACCCCTATGCCTCTGGTAGTTGGATTTGGAAAAAATTGTGCAAGCTTAGACCGCTTGCGAGACCTTTTGTGGTGTGTGAAGTGGGCTCCGGTGTCACGGCTAGCTTTTGGCGTGATAACTGGACGGGTCTCGGTCCATTGATTACCTTGGCAGGTCCTTTAGCTCCGCAGACGGTTGGCTTACCGTATGATGCTGTAGTGAGGGATGGCTTAAGAGGTTCTGACTGGTGGCTGTCTTCTTCTAGAAGTCGGAACCAAGTTATTTTAATGCTCAAGAGTGTCCTGCCTTCTGTTGAGAACATGCTTGAGTGTGTGCATGATGATTCTTACCTTTGGAAAATAGATAATCATGCCCCGTCAAACATTTTTTCTACGGCAAAAACTTGGCAGGCTATTTACCCGACTACGAGCTCAGTGCCTTGGCATAAGGCTGTGTGGTTTAAACATCACATCCCTAAACATGCCTTTATTTCTTGGGTTGTAACTTGGAACAGGTTACATACTAGGGATCGCCTCAGAAATTGGGGTCTTTCTATCTCCTCTCTATGCGTCCTTTGCAATCAACAAGATGAATCTAGGAACCACTTGTTTTTTGATTGCGAGTTCAGCTCTGCGGTGTGGAGACACTTCACTTCGAAGGCGAGACTTACCTCTCCGCCTATGTTTATGGATTGTCTCCAATGGTTACTTTCTTCTACCAGGGATAGTAACTTAGCGCTCATACTTAAACTCCTTTTCCAAGCTTCCATCTATTGCATTTGGAAGGAACGGAATGCCCGGGTTCATTCGGGAGTATCTAAGACTCCTTCTATCATCATCAAGGAGATTCAACTCATCGTCCGAGCACTTCTTGATCCTCTTTCTAGGTTGCAAGCTGCTAGGCAGCCTGGAACTTCCTTCCTTTGTACTTGGTTTCAGTTTTTCCAGCTAAGGTAATGGTAATGGTACTTTCTTCAGGCTTGGGTCGCTTCTTCTGCATGATTTTATGCTGCACCATTGGACCCTCTCTGTTTCTTTTCGGGCACAGTCTTTTCGTCTCAGGTGAGTCTCTTTCCCTTTGCGTTATGGGCCTGTTTGTTTTTCTCTGGCCTGTGTGCCTTGTCTGTTTTAGTTTAAGGGCCTACGGGCCTGTTGTATCTCCCTTTTGTTTTTCCCTGTTGGGCCTGCGAGCCTGTATCGGCTTTTGCCATGTATTTGTTGGGCCTGCGTGCCTTTTTGGGCTTTTTTAGCCTTGTATTTTACCCTTTTTAAATGGAAATTTAAAAAAAAAAAAAAAAATAAATAAATAAATAAGTGGGGTTTTTTTTTCCTAAAAAAAGTATTAGATATATAGAAAGGATCAAAGGAAACTAAATGATGAAATTATTAGATTTAGAGAGGTGTTATTTGATTAAGGTTTTCAAGTGGTTTAATGAATGTATTTGAGATCCATATTTTATTTACCTCATTTCTGGTGTCTTTTTTTTTGTTTTTGTGTGTTGTGGTATAAAAAACGCGTCTCACAGTTGCAAACGTCAATAATAATTAGGGTAAAGCAAAGATAGTGAAGCAGAGCCGCAAAAACATTTTCTAAAATCAACGAAGATAGATTCAGATCGGAAACGAAAGAACGATTCGGTCTCCTCCACAGATCGAACATCGAAGGAGAAGAAAGACGATCATCACCATCATCACCACAACAAGCATCGGAAGAAGAGCAAGATGGCGTCGAGAGATCAAGTTAAGGCGTCGCACATTTTGATTAAGCATCAAGGATCTCGGAGGAAAGCGTCGTGGAAAGATCCAGAAGGGAAAATTATCTTGACTACCACTAGAGAAGCCGCCGTTGAGCAGCTTAAGTCGATCCGTGAAGATATTGTCTCCGGGAAGGCTAACTTTGAAGAAGTGGCGACTCGTGTTTCTGACTGTAGCTCTGCTAAACGCGGCGGCGATCTTGGTTTGTTCTTATCCCTAATCTCTAGGTTAGCGAGTTTAGGTTTAGGATGATTGCACTTAGTGTTAGATCTAGTGGCAATGACATTAATCTGGATAGTCTTAAGTGATGTTTGTAGAAGGAGTATCTATTGGATCTAACTGTGTACATTGAAATTGAGCATAATGATCATATAAGTCTGCTTAGATCATTACTGTTGTTTAAAATCTCACAGTTCTTCCTTGATGTGTTTATAGTCATCACTAATGGTTAGAAACTTTAGCTTGATAAATCTTTAGTTGGTGCTCAGAGATTTTACTAATCTCTAGCTTCTATCATCACTAATGTTTAGTTTCTTCCTATTTCCCAATAAATTTATACTTGGCTCTCATTAATCTCGCTAATGTTTGTTTAGATCATCACCGATGTTGAGAATCTGAAGTTTATCTTCCTTGATGAATCTATAATTGTTGCTAATGTCCACTTAGATTAACACCGATGATTAGAATCTAAAGTTTCTTCCTTGATGAATCTGTAATCGGTACTCATAAATCTTACTAATGTCTGCTTAGATCACTACTGATGTTTATATTCTGAAGTTTCTTCCTTGGTGGATCTATAATTGGTGCTCATAAAGTGTACTAATGTCTTCTTAGATCATAACCTATCTAGAGTTTTTATTCTTGATGATGAATCTATAATTGTTGCACATAAATCTTATGCTGGAAGTGTTCATGGTGATTGACTATGTTCAGGTCCCTTTGGTCGAGGTCAAATGCAGAAACCATTTGAGGAAGCAACTTACGCACTCAAGGTGGGAGATATAAGCGACATTGTCGATACAGACAGTGGAGTCCACATCATTAAGAGAACAGCTTGACCTGATCCGATCTAATAAATGTATCGAAGGTGTCAGCTTTGTTTCCCTTCTCTTCTTGACCAAAAGAACATAGAAGAAGAAGAATAAGAAGAACTTAATTCAAGGTTATTGTTATTGTGGTTTTGATTCTGAAACTGTCTACGAATTTGATACAAACAACCCAAACATATGATAAAACCAGACACTCTATCTCATTTCTTCTTAAAGCTTCATAAGCACATTCCATGTCGTAGACAGTGATTTGTATAATCATATTTCAGTATCTTTGTCATATCTTAGTGCAATATTCTGGCATCTTTTTTAGTGTTGTCATTTTGCTCTTAAACTCTTGATAATCTTTGGCTTTCTTCTCCACTCTTAATAGTTGAGAAATCGTTTATTGTTAGACGTAATTTAACGTTTAAACCAGTTTAGGTTTTATTTTAAACAAGTCATGGAGAACCCCATTGTATAGAACTCATATACAAACCAAACCTTAAGATCGATCCAAATAGTTTTCTCTAAAAAATATATTTGATTTATGATTGATTAATTATTTGAAGCTGGTTATACTTTTATTTCCTCAATGTAGTCAATATTTCTTAGTTTCACACTTGGAGTTTCAACACTATTTAAATTTATAAAACGGCTAATCAAATACCTAGTTAAAACATTCAAAGACGTTAAGTTAAGATAATTAATATCACAGTTTCACATTTCATTCCATATAAATAAGCAAGGATCTATTGTTGTTCATCAATCAAAAACAATCAGAGCATTAAGCATATATTTGAGATTTGGCTATACTAAGGCTTTTTTACTCAATTTTCATTATGTCTATCAAAAATGTGCTTTCACTCATAGCAGTTCTATGCATCATAGTTTCTGTAAATGCTCAATTGCCACAGTTTCCGGCTCCGTTTCCTTTTCCATTTCCGTTCCAACCGATTCCTGGTATGCCAGGATTACCTGATTTAACAAAATGTTTGTCATCCGTGATGGATATTCCTGGATGCATTGCAGAGATTTCTCAATCCATTTTCACTGGAAAATTCGGTAATTTAGGTCCAGCTTGTTGCAAAGCATTTTTGGACGCTGAAGCCAATTGCATACCGAAAATTCCATTCATTCCGTTTTTCCCTCCGATGCTAAAGGAACAATGTTCAAGAATTGTCGGTGCAACTCCTCCGACACCAAAATAGAGTTTTACTTTATTTTAAAGATATATGATTTTTTTTTTTCAACTTATTTCTTAAAATTTTAGCTTACTCTACATGTTATACTCCAAAGAAAAAAACAATGATACAATGATAACATTTGAGAAGTTGTATTTGGGTTCAATATTTACTCATTCTTCAATTCTAATGAATAACACCTTAAAACATCAAGTCCATAATTAATTTAGTCTTGCAATGTTTCAGATTTTCATATATCTTTTAAACATGTGTAACACAAAATCTGCGAACAATTAATAATTTTACTAGATAAAGCATGTCTAAATAGCCAGGTATGAGAAATAAACTAATTTTTTTTATTTAATCTAATTTTTCAAAAGCCAATTTACAATCTTACATATTTTATTTTTACAATAAAATTTAACTATTTCTAACACGCCTTTACTAATTATATATAATAAGGTATTTCTTAAAGTGCAACAAAAAATTAAGAAAGGACAAGAGACTGCAACAAGAAAAAGACGGACCAAGCGGAGCCAGAGAATGTGGGAAACAAATTGAACTATGTAATTGAGAAAGAAGAAAATTAAATTAAATTAAAAAAAAAATACAAGGATAAACATATTGAAGTTACAGTTTTCAAAAAAACATATTTAAGGTACAAAATTAGAAAATATTAAAACACGTATTAATATTTTTTAAAACAAAATAGGGAACGTTTACTTCTGTTATGAATATATTAACAATTTTTAATAGAATTAATTAGTTTGATATATTAAATAAAAAATTAATCTATAAACAAAATTTTTTGATTTATGTATATATTTCCTTTTTTCGATAGGGTTAGAAAATTTCTACTTTTCTTTTTATATATATCAAAATTAGATTTGACATGTGTAGATATCTCATTAATAAATTTAACATTCACGTGAATTATTAGTTTTGTCAACTTTTTATATAAGACGGCAAAAAACTCTGGTTTAAACTTTAGCCCTTGAGTTTTTTTATTAAGCTAAATTTAACCATTTATTTGGCCTCATAACTGCGTTATTAAGAATGTTTTTTAACAAATTGTAATATTTCAATGAAATTAAGAAATGCTTCAAAATTGAGGATTTGTATTCAGTAGAAAACACACTGGTTCACAAAATGCTAGTAGACCAAAAGAAAGATCACCGCCACCAAGTGTGTTTCTCGGATAAACACATGGAATCCAGCCATTACTTAAACCACACGTGTACGCTCAAGATTTGATTATTGCACACGTAACCGATCCTCTGACAAAAACCATAACGAATACAAAAAACACACGAACACACTTCTCTGCGCTATAAATAAGCTAGCTCAGAAAATTTAACAGATTGAGACAAGATTAACAAAGCAACACTTTCACTAATCCTCTAATGGCAGAAGAGAAGATCTTGAAGAAGACTCCGGCGGCGAAGAAGCCGCGAAAACCTAAAACCACCACTCATCCTCCATACTTTCAGGTGAGTTTTTCTTTTGAGTTCTATCTATAACCAATAGTTTTCTAAAACGTAAGTTTTTGATGAAGATGATAAAAGAGGCTTTGATGGCTCTGAAAGAGAAGAACGGATCAAGCCCTTACGCTATAGCTAAGAAGATAGAGGAGAAACACAAGTCTTTACTTCCAGAGAGTTTCCGTAAAATACTTTCTCTACAGCTTAAAAACTCTGTCACTAAAGGTAAGCTCGTGAAGATCAGAGCCTCTTACAAGCTCTCAGATACCACCAAGATGACAACGAGGCTACAGGACAAGAAGAGTAAGAAGAATATGAAGCAAGAAGATAAAGAGATCACAAAGAGGACTAGGTCTTCTTCGACAAGGTCCAAGAAGAGTATGTCTGTGAATAAACAAGAAAAGATGAGGAAAGCGAAGAAGGCGAGACAGCCTAAGTCTATCAAATCTTCAGCTGGTAAGAAGAAGGCCATGAAAGCTTCCGCTGCTTGATCAATGAGGAGGAGGAGAAGAAGAAACTGTGTGTTAATATGAAGAATAAGTTTTTTTTTTGTATATGTAAATGGGTGACTCTGTTTTTTATTTGGTGTGGCCTCTTTTTGGTTTAAGAGTAAAGTGTCTTTCGATGTATAACTTGTACTACCATGTAATATACTCGAAATAGTTTTTTTTTTTTTTTTTTTTTTTTTTTTTTTTTTTTTTTTTTTTTTTCTCGAAATAGTTTTTGCTTGGGTTGAACTGAAATATCTCTGATAATGACATGTGTTTTATTTTATGATCAAGAACTTACATACACACAACACACTAACATACACAAAAGGTTATATCTGTATGGAATTTGGATTTTGACTTGAATAAATCATGAAGATATGAGATCAGAACAAACGGACATGGAGAGTTTACTAATGATGCTGTCCTGTTAGCGAACGAAGGCAAAGATGATCAAGAACGGCGTTTTATATTAAAATGCTTTTGAAATCAATCTATATTATAATCAATTTTATACTAAACGATTATAACGCTAGTATTATAGAAACAATATGTGGATTTATGAAAACATTCCTTCTAATTTACGGCATCTATACTATTAATTGGGAAGGATTACCTGAAAAATAACCTTACAATGTGTAAATAATTACAAGAGAATGCCATTACAATTAAAATTTTGAAGACAAAAAAAAAATTTGCGTGGAGGGGTAAAATAGTAAAATTGCCGCTGTTGGGACGCGGATCCCGGATCTTACAGTCGGATCCTTTCTTCTGAAACAACTCTGACCCGAAATATCTGTTAAAATACTCTTTTACTTCAACATTTCGAATCTGCAGAAGATAATACCAAATAAAAACATTAGCGACACAAATCAAACAATACCATAACTATTTTTCCGGATCAATATATACTACTCTGTATATTGCCTTAACAAACAAATCTCATAATTTACACTTCCTAAAATAAAACGTATTTATTTCTATTCCATATACAAACAATGTTCTGAGGCTGTAATCTCGCAAAATCGGGAATAAGTTAGCAATAAATTTTAACATTATTAGGCTGTAATCTCGCAAAAATCTTACCATATCAACGCAAACTATTAATGCCAATGTAAAAATATCTCTTTAAATGCAAAACTCAATCATTTGTATTTAAATACAAAACTCAATCATATTGAAAGATATAGAATTCTAACTTATTATATTTCCCTTATTATTTGGTATTAAAAATCACACAATCTCTTAAATATCCATATTCAGTTCGATATTGATATACCAAACAAGTAAATCGGTAATTATGAGCAAATAAATCTCCCTAAATCAAGCATATACCTTTAAGATCCTAATCCCAAATTATCTTATACGGCCTATATTCTCTAAAACCTAATAAAACTAAAGGCTCCATACGATTACTATAAATATAGGGACGTGCAGTAGACAGAACTCACCTTTCAAAGCATTACCATTACCACTACACTATTTCTCTAAGAAAATGGCAGCTGTGCAAGCATTCACCCCTCTTGCTGACATTAAGCCCTTCAAAACACATTGGAAAATTCAGGTTAAGATTGTTCATTCGTGGACACAATACACTCAATTCACAGGGGAAACAGTTGAAATGGTTCTTGCTGATACAACTGTAAGTATAAGAACTGTCATTTTTCAATCAAATAAACGTTTATCAATCATCAATATCAATGGATGATTAACATGAGTTCTTTTTATCTGTTGGCAGGGTACTTTGATTCATGCTACTGTTAAGAAGCCACAAGTGAGCAAACTCCAAAGGCTCATAGTTTCTGGAGAATGGCGTATTATCGAGCATTTTACACTAACCAAATCAACAGGAAAGTATCGAGCCACGAAACATGGTTTCAAGATGTCCATGATGGAAAAAACTGTGATAAGTCGCACTCCTGCTGTTTCTGATGACATTTATTTGGATCTGGCAAACTTTCCAGATATCCTGAATGAAGCAGGATTGAGTGAAAACATCTTAATTGGTACTATATCTATCTTACTTTCCATTGTATATTTTCTTTTTCTATTATAATAGGAACTTCTTCATGAAAATCTAATTTATTACTCTCTTATTTTGCAGATGTACTTGGACAGGTTGTTAGTTTCAATGAAATGAAAATTCATGATGTTAACAACAAGATCACAAAGAGACTTGAGTGTGAACTCAGAGACACAAAGTAAGTTTAGTCAATATGTACCTTTTTTATTTAATCTTACATACATCTAAACTTAAAACTTTCTCACAATTTTTGTTATATTGTAGTGATGAAAGGCTGAAATGCACTCTTTGGGGGAGATTTGCTGAGGCAATGTATAATGCATGTGAAAATGCAGGGACTGAGAGAGTGATTTGCTTGCTTCGGCTTGCAAAGATCAACTCATTTAAAGGTATAGAATGTTGTTACTGGATTCTGAATGCATGATTTTAAAATCGAAATGAAATCAGAACATATGTGTTTAATACTAATATCATGCTGTTTTTAGGTGAAAGAGCTGTTTCAAATTCATTTGATATGTCTCTATTGGAAATCAATGCTAACTACCCTGCTGTTCTTGAGTTTGTGGCCAAGTAAGAGATATGTCTAAACGTCACTTTTTTTTAGCTAATATATAACTGTGAATCCTATTTATATTATCTAAAGTTGATTTCATTTTCTTTTATTTGTTAAAAATAGTTTACCACCTGATGTTATGCCACTGACTATCGAAGACTCGAAGGCAAAACAAGTGAATGCAGAACAGAGAAAAAAGGATTACTATGATCGTTTTCCAAGGAAAACCATCTCTGGACTCTTTTGTTTTTCTGAGGTATTTGTATTTGATAATATTCTTTTTTTCTAGCAACTATTCAATTCTCTGTCTATACTACTAATTATCTATTTTTTTGTGCAGACTGGAAAGTGCAACATAATTTGTACCATAATGAATATCGACACAGACTATTCTTGGTATTTCTTTAGTTGCCTCAAGTGTAGCAAAACTGCCTATAAGATTCCAAAGGTTGAAAATGAGATTGTCAAGAAAGGTAAGAAAGAAATGTTTTGGTGTCCAACATGTAAGGAAGACACTCCTAAGGTGATACCAAGGTAAGACTTTGAGATTTGCTAATATATATCTACATTTGTCAGATAATAACTATGTATCTAATCTACTTTCCTGATCCTTTGATATGTAGGTATCTTTTAAACGTTGGAGTGATGGATAACACTGGGGACACTAAATGTCTTATCTTTGATAAAAGTGCACAAGAGATAATCGGTGTGTCTGCAGAGGATTTGTTGGAAGGGAAGTGGGATGAGGTAAACAAATTTGTTGTTAATATGTATATAGACCATAATATTCAAATCTCTTATATACTTTTTTCAATTTATCATAACAGATTCAGGATCCTACAAACTTGCCTCAGCAAATCAGAGATTTGGTTGGAAAGACTTTCCAGTTTCTGGTGACTGTTGGAAAGGAAAACATCAATGAAACTGATGATACCTACAAGGTTTCAACCGTTTGGCTGGGTAATGAATCTGACAATCTAGATACTGTTGAAGATTCTGACCAGCAGACTGACCAACGTAATGACCTCTCTATTGATCAGGTAATGTTAGTAGGTGCAACCAAAATCAATCTATCAAAAAGTTATTCAAGTTTATCACTAAAGGGCTGGATCGTGTTTCAATTAAATAGTGAGTACCATCACTTATACTCAAGTCAGGGAATAAATTATGGATACTTATAACTATGTAATTTAATGACTTTGTTATATGAAAGAATTATCTATTATCTATTGACTATCCTGATTTCTTGGAGTAACAGGAAGGACTTGCTCTGACCAATAGTAGTGAAACCACTGACCCTTTAGGTCCTACATCATCCACTCCTTCATCTAAGCGTAGTATGGATGCTGTTTCTGAGGACATTGAAGGTCAGGGTTCTACTACTAAAAAGGCATGTGTCTCTTCCATTCTTGGTGACATTGAGAAGGAAGAGATTGAAGGTGGCAAGAATTAAGTTGTGCTGGCTGGGAATAATGTAGAGAGCTTGGCTGTAGCAATTAGTTTTCTATTTTTTCTTTTGTTCAAGTTTCAAAACTTCTTTAGTTATTTCCTTTAGCTATTTGCTATTTAGTTTCCAGTTATTTTCAGATCAAGCAATAAAGTCTAAGCTTCTCCTTATACTAAACTCTTTGCAAAATATAAACTAACTTGTGCTTAAACTAAAGATCACAAAACAGAGAGATAAAATATACTAACCTGTGATTTGTACTGATGAATCAAAGCAATAAGCCCCATTTTAGTAGCTAAAACTGCAGACAAAAGAAAACACATGTTAGTTGCAAACAAACAGAGACTAATATAAAATCTACTAATCTGACGATATCTATACTATAAATGTCTAACTTAATTAATTGTATAGATATAAGTACATATATTTTAAATGGCATATCTGCAAGTATTTTAAAGATCTTACTTAAGCTTTAAAAATCTATCCCCTCTTCTAAATCGTTAACAAATTGGAATAGTATAGCAGTTGAGATAAATCAGTTTTAAAAGATTTCATTGTTGTAGTATAACAACTGTTTTCAATACCAAAGCTGGCATATTTAACCTATTAATATACAAGATTCTAACAATAAAAATAAGAATCAATCAAGTAAATATTATTATGAATATGGAAAAAAAAATATATTCTGTAATCTTTACAGTTTAATGCTATCACACTAAATCAGGATGAGCCGATTTCTTTATAATCATTACATAACCATTTAACACCTTCAATCCTAATCTACAGCTACTCGGCACATTTGCAAAGAAACATCTATAAGGTCAGTCTTTTAAGCTCTTTCAACATTGAACATGTTCATATACAAATGACATAATTGGAATTAATTTTCCTCACAAATCAATTTTGTTTTTCAGGATGAAGAGAAGAAAAAATGAAACAGTAAAAGAAAATAACAATGTATTGCAGACACCTAACACAAAGCGTTCTAGATCTCTGCTGAATGATGAAAACATAAATCCAAATCTACAGAGCCAACAAGATAGGAGTGATGTTCAAGTAAAAGGGATTTTTAATCGATTGAGATCTGGAATACGTAACATACCAGCCCAGCTGTGTGATTCTGAAGCCTTACAGACAGTAACTGGTCCTTCTTCTTCTGCAGCCATACAAAAAGAAACACAAGGTATGTAAACATTTATATTCCAACAATATAGCATCTACATATGATGCTAACTAATAAATAACCATACTGGTTTATGATTTGAGTCTACAGTTACTTATAATACGAGTGTAAGATCAGCCAAAAAAACAGCAAGGACACAGAGAAGACCTTTTCAAGATGTGCAGAACCTGACAAATTCATCACAGCTTCACAGCGATGTTCACCAAACTCCACTTAATCCACATAAGCCACCAGAAAAAAAGGGGAAAAAGTGGAGTCCTCCATCTGTTAACAGCAAACAAGGTATACATGCCTCTCAATAATATGAAACTATTACATAAAAAGTATTAATAGATCAACACTGATGGAGTAATGTTGATTTCATGAAGCTACTAAGGGTATTATACTTACCAATTCAAGAAACACTCTGAGGTTCCCAAAGTCTTTGGCAAAGGAGAAAAAAACATCTCACAAGAGTTATGATCCAACAATAGAAGAAGACTCTGATGAGATCCTGAATTCAAAGGAAGAAACAGATACAAATATGAGTAAGTAAAAATCATTATGATATATTTTCTAAACTCAATAAAGCATTCACTAATAAGGGAAAAAAAATATTATAGGGGATTTGGATGAAACACGTGAACAGGTTTACGAGTGTAGTAGTCCAGATGAAAATGATTCAGAAACATCAGAAGATTATGAAAGCATAGACGATATCCCAATCGAAGTCAAACAAAGATATGAGTTTTTATCTATGTTAGATGAAAGTTTGACCAAAGCTTTTGGAGAAAGAAAAACTCCTAATGTTTCTAGCAGAAAGAACAAAAACACAGGTACTACATCATTGGTTTAGTTCTAAATCTTTTCTTAAACAAACTTTACTTATGCTAAACTGTCTTTATGTTATTGTAGAGTATCTAGATCATGGAGATCCTGTCTACTCATGTTCCTACTGCGGTGCTATTATGTGGTATGGAGAACGCATCAACAGACATAAGAAAGTTCGTAAACCAATTTTTACTCAATGTTGTTTGCAAGGATCTGTGAAACTGCATTTCCTCCATAATCAACCAGAACTGTTATTTGCTTTGCTAACCAATGATGATGACATGAGTAGACACTTTAGAGAGAACATCAGAGCATATAACATGATTTTTTCATTTACTTCTCTTGGGGGTAAATGTGATAATTCTGTTACAGCGGGAAGAGGTCCTAATATGTTTCAGATTCAAGGAGAGAATTACCACCAGATGGGAAGTTTGATACCTGGAGAAGGTGAATTTCCTAAGTTTAGTCAGCTATATATAGTTGACACCGAGAATGAAGTTGAAAACAGAGCAGGAATTTTAAGGTACATTTTCTAACTCAAAACAAGCAATTATAGTATCCAGAATATGTGTTTTTTTCTATAAGTATTACTGTCGTTGCTGACTAAATTTATATTTCAGCAAAGGAAAATCTGCTGGGAAATATAAGAAGAAGCCAGAGCTGAGAAAAGATATAATTGAGGCGATAATAAAGCTGCTAAATGAAGTTAATCCATACGTTGCTCATTTTAGACAAGCTCGTGATAGGTTTAATACCAATCCTGAGCAGAGCTTTCACATGAAAATAGTGAGTGACCGTGTCAGAGATGGAAGAACATATGCAGTGCCAACAGCTTCAGAGGTCGCAGCGCTGATTCCAGGTGATTTTCATGTTGGTATGCCAAGTCGTGACATTATTATTGAAGAAAAATCTGGGTATTTACAAAGAATCAGTGAAATAGAACCATGTTATCTTGCTCTACAATACCCTTTGTTGTTTCCAAAGGGTGAAGATGGTTATAGGACAGGTATTTTGAAAGGGAATAACCATGGTAAAAAGAAAAACAAGCCCGAAGGAACTGAGGAGAATGATTGCATAAGTTTGCGTCAATGGTATGCGTATCGTATACAAGAGAGAAAGAATGAACAAAGTATCCTGCTAAGGTCAAAACGGTTGTACCAGCAGTTCTTGGTTGATGCTTATACCACCATTGAAGCTAATAGGCTCAAATATATTAAACTGAATCAGTCAAGTTTACGAGCTTCTAACTATGACTCAGTTAAAGAGGCGGCAACATCAGGAAAGACAGATATGAATGAAGAAGGAAAAGCATTTTATCTACCAGCTACTTTTGTTGGTGGGCCAAGATACATGAAGAACATGTACATGGATGCAATGTCTACATGTAATCATTATGGATTTCCTGACCTATTCATTACGTTCACATGCAATCCAAAATGGCCTGAGCTGGTAAGATTCTGTACTGAAAGAAATTGTAATTCCGATGATAGGCCAGAGATCATAAGCAGAATGTTCAAAATGAAGCTGAATTCTCTAATGGATGATTTAACGAAGAAACTTATATTGGGGAAGACTGTTTCATGTAAGTGATTTATTTTAATAGTTGCGTTTACAGTCTACAATTTAAGTATCTGTTTCAGGTATTTTTTTAAAATGTTGTTTACCTAATATTATTATCTCATGTTGTTCTCGCAGCAATGTATACAATTGAGTTCCAGAAAAGAGGTCTTCCTCATGCACATATATTGATATGGATGCATCCAAGTTCTAAGTTTCCAAAACCAGAAGACATTGATAAAATCATTTCTGCGGAAATTCCTGACAAGAATAAAGAACCGGAACTTTATGAGGTCGTTAAAGACATGATGATTCATGGACCATGTGGCGTCATCAACCAGAGTTCACCATGTATGGTTGAAGGCAAATGTTCTAAGTTTTTCCCAAAAAAACTTAGAGAACATACTAAGGTTGATAAAGAAGGTTTCCCTTTGTACAGAAGAAGAAAGACAAAGCTGTTTGTGGAGAAGTGTGGATTTAAGTGTGACAACGGATATGTTATACCCTATAACAAGAAGTTGTTGCTTCGCTACAGAGCTCATATTAATGTTGAGTGGTGTAACCAAACTGGCTCTATCAAGTACTTATTCAAGTATATCACTAAAGGGATGGATAGAGTTTCAGTAGTTGTTGAGCCTAATGAAAAGTCTTCAAAGACTACAACTACTACAGAGAAGTCTGATAGTTCAAACAGTGGAGGCACAAGTAAAAATGAAATACAAGACTTCTTTAATTGCAGGTATAAAATCATTTTAATTTTTGGTAAATAGTTTAGATGTTTAACTCATTTCTAACTAATACATGTTTTATGATATTGTATCAGATATGTATCAGCATGTGAAGCTGGATGGAGAATCTTGAAAAATCCTATACATTATAGGTCAACGTCTGTTCAAAGATTATCCTTCCATCTACCAGGCAAACAACTATTATATTTTAAAGCTGATGATGAGGTGAAAACAGTTTTGAAAAAATCAGAATTACAGAATTCGATGTTTCTTGCTTGGTTTGAATTGAACAAGCGGTGTCCTAAAGCGAAAGATCTCACATATACTCAGATTCCGGAATATTATACTTGGGATAGTAAAACAAGAACTTTCAATATGAGGAAGCGACCAGGGAAAACAATCGGAAGGATTAATTATGTCCCACTTATTTATGAGGAAGGTTATTATTTAAGAGTGCTTCTAAATCATCAAACTGGACCTGAAAGTTTCGAAGACATCAAAACAGTTAATGGCGTGGTGTACAAATCGTTCAAGGAGGCATGTTATGCTCTGGGTTTGCTAGACGATGACCAGGAGTATATTGATACAATAAAGACAACCAGTTTTTGGGCTACTGGGAACTACTTGCGTTGTATGTTTGTTGTAATGCTCCAGTCTACCAGCTTATCTCAACCAGAAGTTGTTTGGGAAAAAACATGGGAACTTCTTTCAGAAGACATCGAAAGAAAAAGGAGAGAGTACTTTAAAAGACCAGGTAATTTTTGATCAAATTATTGAGTCTCTTTGGTTGGTTTAAAGAGTTGTTACTTTGCAATTTTAAGTAGTTTTTTTCATGATTATTCTGTCTTACAAATAACACTGTTTTTTTACATATTTTGGGACACAGAAC